AGCCCCCCCCCCGCCGGACGAGCCTTTGCAGCAACTGCAACTGCGAAAGAAAAGCCCCTTTGAACAAAAGAAGGACCTCTATCATCTAGTTTTTACAAGTAGTTGTTGATGAGGAACAGAGCGGAAAGAGTGATTCAGATTTTAAAATTAAGTTTTAATGTAAAAAATGTGTTTAAGTCGTATGGCTTTAAGCTGTCACTGGCCCTTTAATGGTTGTCTGTGTGTCACTGGGTTGCAGGGTTTGAGAGCTGCAGTACGCCCGGCATCTGTGTTTTGTAAAGCCTTTAAGGCTGGTAAAGGTATGAGTTTCTGTGGAAGCAGTGGAAAACCTTCTGTCTGTAGACTTACGAAGACAACTTAATCACATTTACATTCCCATCATACTTGCATGTGACGACTAGCACTAGAACATCTTCATGTTTAAATAAAAGTTTAAATTTCTCAGAATGGAGTGTTTGTTTTACAGGAAGACAGAGTTAGGATTCCTGCTCTCTCCAGACACACACACACTCTCTCACTTTCCTCTTCTGCCTTTGGCCAGCTGGTGACAAGATTTTACAGTAGAAAACCAAAGATTTTAAGGGAAAAATATTGTAAGAACTAAAAGCAAAACTAAACCAAAGATACTGAAAAACAGAATAGAGGCTCTTAGTCTCCAATAGTAATTACCAGTTAAGATGAAGACTGGTACGTGTATATTGACTTTTATGGCAGCTGTACATGCAGGTATGAGGGAAGTGCACGTTTTGAAACCTTGAACAGAGCAGTTATGCATTTGATCACTGTGTGCATTTTGAGAACTCTGCTGAAGGCTTTTTGAAGAGAATAGCACTGTGCCAGACTAAGTTTGTTCAGTTTGTTATGAAAACGATTTGAAACTAGTTGCTCTGTCATTCTGCATTGCTTGTAACCCTAAAAATAATTGCCTGGCGTTACTGGAAGCAGAACGGTCTGACAGCCCGACTTGTGCTGCTATAGTTAAAATCTGTCAATGTTTCCATTACAAACTTGGAGGGAGGGTTTAATCTTTTTCCCATTTGAAATCATGCCTGGAAGAAATTCTAGATCAGCGTTTCAACTCCCAAGTATAAATCTTTTGGAAGAGATTGGATCTTTCTTAAAATCTTTGCTTAAATACAAACAAACAAACAAAAACCCCCCAACCCTATGGCAATGAAATACTGATACTCAGTTTTGAAATGTTAAGTGATCAGGAATATATTTCATTCTTTTTGGTAATTTTCAGTTCAATTAAATGAGGCAACAACAATGTTTCTACATATCAATGTTGATTTTATAGTGAGCGTTGCAGTTTGCTGTTCCAGGCTATTATTACTGCAGAATAAACTTTGCAATATGCCGAACTGGAGGATTTCAAAACCTTCCTAGGGAAACACAAAAAAGAAACACATAAGTATCTGATATAAGGCATGCCTTTGTACTTTTCTCCCACTTAAAATTTCCTTCCAATTTCCCGAGGTTAGCTCCAAAAGAGTTTCACTTTTCTTGTGTGTTAAGGCTGTAGTTTCACGGATGCTTTAAACCCAGGTAAACTGTAATCCCCTCCTCTCTGCCTACACATTCCTGTTCCCTGCCTCGTGACAGCCAAGGCTTTTGCATAGCACAAAACCACATGTGGTGAACCAGATCAGGGAAGATAATTTTTTTGGTTCAGGCTGTGGCTACACAACTCTTTGTACTAGTCCAAAGAAGAGGGTGGCACTGGGGCAGGAACAAGTGAGTCGACTCTGACATGTCACTTTATATTCCACTTTATTTTTAATTTTTTTTTTTAATCCCCCCACCCCCACCCCCCGCCTTTCCTCTGCAGTTCACAGGGTGGTTCTTCGCTATGAGCTTCTCGAGCCGTGGAGGCTCTTTTGCAGAAAAGGGGGGGGCTGCATGCAGCCAATTCTTTTTGTCAGTGAAAACCTTGTAGTCACAAGACTTTTACTGGCAACTTTAGTTCTCTAGTATATTTGTTAAAGTATTCCTCTCTCACACCACCACAGACTTGTTCATAATACTTTCTGTACAGTGTCCTGCTATACGGTTGTTAATGCAAATGATTAAGACTGCTCTACTGCAGATTTTCTCTAGGATATTTTTACGTTCTATTAGGGTCTGATTTTAAGCAATAGATACCTTGAGGACTAGGTAAAAGTGCTTATGTGCTTATCTCCTTTTGAAACTTGATTTTTTTTTTTGCCATTATACAGGATCTTTTTCTTGACACTCTTGAAATAATCCACAAATACTGACATCAGTGGCAGTATGAAAGTTCTGCCAAGGCACACAGTTAATTTAAAGTCTGGTCCTTAAGCTGTCTGTGCTCCCTCTCTATCTTTAAAAAAACAATAGCAGTGTTGTGTGAAGTACTAAAAGCCAGAAGAGATACAAAAGAGGCTTCTAATTATTTTTGTATTTCTGGATAGATTAAGGAATAGCGTAGTCTTCGTGTCTACCACAATAATTAATTTATGACGTGAAATAGTCATAGTGACGTAAACTTAGTTTATACCTGCTGGAACCTGGAGGAACAATATCTCTTATTTCATTTTCACATCAGATGCCACAATGAAGAGTGATAAAATCCTATGAGTAATACTCAGCAGAGGTTATATATAATTTGAGCCTGTGTCATGCATTGAGCATGCTTCAGATGGCGGTTGGGTATATTAGAATGTGCCCGTGAATCCTGTCCCAAACGTGGTGTGAAAGCAGGTGTATTTAAAATACATGAGTAATTAAGTACAGATTTAACACAGCGCTCCAAATGGTAAACAGACTACTGTAGACTGAGCTAATGGGCATGCTGCGATTTCTATCTATAGTTCACTCTAACATGCTTTTTTCCTTTGCAGCAGTCCATTGTACCAGCCCACCCAATGGCTCCTCCTAGTCCCAGCACCACCAGCAGTAATAACAACAGTAGTAGCAGCAGCAACTCAGGATGGGATCAATTAAGTAAAACAAACCTTTACATCAGAGCACTGCCTCCAAACACCACTGATCAGGACCTGGTAAAATTATGCCAACCGTAAGTACTATGCTTAAATATAAATTATAATGTCATACCTTAAAAGCTTATGGTAGGTATACAAAATGAGTGTTTCGATTATGAGGGAAGAAAAACATTTGTAAATAAAAATCCTCATGCTGTAGTACGATGGCAAGTTTCAACTTCCCTGGCAATCAGAAGGAAAAGAATGTGTTTGGCACTTTGGAGGAGCAAAGAAAGTTGAAATATAGTGGTGAACAGAAGCAACCCATTGCTTTAGTAAAAACTGTGATCATCCATACTGCTGCCTGATGCTGCTGAAATCACAGATAAATGAAAATTAACACCTGAATGTGAAACTTGCTATTAAGAACCTGCAACAGAGGGTCTTCTCTGTTCACTACTAAGATAATCTGTTGATACAAACTCCTCAAGTAATTGTTCTGCATCACTGTAATTACAATATGCATTTGAATGCTTATCCTAGTTTCAGACTAATTTATGTTGGCAGTACATTACTGCACAATTATATTTACAATTAGAAATAGTTGATCCACATAAGACTCCTCTCTAGTGGCTGGGGTTCCGGGTAGACTTGGCTTAGCAGAAGGTTTTCAGGCAATGTTGTTGACATGAGATTTTTTTCTGCTTGTGTGAGTTTTTGGTTTTGTTTTTTAATTTTTACGGCAGCACATGCCTTTTAGTTACTTTCAAATGTGGGTCAGATGTCAAGAGACTGTGCAATTATGTTGTTTATGCATTGTTTAAAATCAGCTTTCTTAAATGTTTTACTGAACTTTTAAAATCCTTAGTACTTCTGAAATTCATAGTGCACTTCCTGGATTATTTTGAAATCAAAAGTATTTAGCTAAATTTTCAATACTACCTGTAAGAAAACACCCAAATCTCTCTTGAATGAATGGAGAATCATTAAGATTTGTATATAACATTACTGTCTGAGATTCTCAAAGTAATTTTATGTTCAATTTAGCAGATGAGTAACTAGGAATATACAAAAATACATGCCCAAGATCACAACACAAGTTAGCAAAATAGCTAGGAAAACCTGTAAGTCTTGGATCCCAGCTTATGTGAGGCGCCTTTGTTTTTGAATATTGCAAAAAAATCTGATACCTAATTTGTAGAGAAGAATTTTTATTTTTTTCTTTTTTAAACAAAACTTGGACTTTCAGGGTAGTAGTCACATATCAGTCATCTTAGTATTATAACAAAAACAACTTGCTCTCAGGTCTTTAAAGAAAAAAATTTTCCATTTGGTCATTTTCCCAACAGCAAATGAAATCCATGTGTTTTACAGAAAAGAGAACAGATTATCAATCTGTGAAAAGATTAATGGATAAATTAAACCTTTTTACAGGTTCCCATGCGACAATGACCTCTTGTCACTTGAGTTTTAGTTGCAAATGCATGTTTTACAGAAGTGGATTTTTCCTTCCCGTTTTTGTCTTTTGAACTGATGAAGAAACCTTGGCCTGTGCACTCATGTTATGTTAGGACAGAGTTGTGAGGTTATTTTGCACTGGAGCCACCCAGTAACTACTATTTGTGCAGTGGTTACTATAGCTCCTTAATCTCTTTCTGAAGGCATTTTGGTTTGCACAGTCTTAGATGTCACTGATGCATGAACATCCTAGAAAAAAAAAATGTTCAATACTTGGCTGTAACCGGTCCTTTTCCTCTTGGATAGCCAAAGATTCTGATATTGTTGTTGTTGCTGTTCAATATGTAATTGTAGTTGGAACAGCATGAATTTTGCAAATAAAGAAAAGGCAAGAACTGCAGCCATGAAGTTATTAAATCAATTCTGACGTGAATTTACAGACTTGGAAGGTCGTGGTGTTTCTTCCTGTGAGATAATTTCTCTCTGAAATGTCTTACTTGAGAGGAAAGGAGGCCCTGTCTCAAAATTCTCCATTTCTGCTGAGGAACCAAGTGAGATGTCCAGAAATTTTAGGCTTGGAACATCTTTCAAAAATCTGGGTAATCTATTAAGAGCCTTAGGCTTCTCTGCCAACATAGCCCCTTAGCAACTGACTTGATGCTGCAGTAAGATAGAAATGACAATACTTTCTCCTTGTTCACAGAAGCTCAGTAATCCACTTTTATAGACTATGGAAAGTTTCAGATGCAAAATGTTTCCTTCCTACAAGTCTGCCTAAACTTCTAGGACATAGAGGGCAAGATTTGGGCCGGAAGGAGGATCCGGGGAACTACGGGCCTGTCAGCCTGAC